AACAGTGTAATATGCAAAATGTCCCATAAATAAAGAAAAACGCTCATCAAAAAGTTATTGGAAGGTGACTTCCTCCGAATGTCTCGCTTTGTCTGACCAACAGTCCGAAACCCAAAGGAATCCCCGTAATCTCACCGATGACAAAAACCCTTAGCAAGTATTCACTTTTGAAAAGCTGGAACAAATGAATGTCAAACATTGAAATGACATTTTAAATAAAGAATAATATTTGTTGATACCTCAAACGTACGAACTGTAATCGAACAAGCAAAGAAAGACAAAAGCAGACTCGTTCGATGTTTCGGGAGGAGAGACCTAGTGTGCTGCTGATAGGATATGGGGAGATGAACACAGCACTCGTTATCAACAAAAAAAGAAATAATATAATTCAATTGAAATGAGAAACATTCCCTGTCCCTTTTGGCCCTGCCTCTCAGCCGTTAACAAGCCTTGAGTTCAACCTGTTTTTCCCATATCCCACCAGGAGTCACTGGCTTTGTGTTTCAAAGCAAGAAACACTTCAGCTGCAGCTCTGCAATTATCATCACAGGAGACTCATAGTAGGACATAGTGCCACTATCATTGCTATTCAGCTACCATTCAAACAAGCTGCCACTGATACAAACCCACTTCAGAGTGCAACACAATGGTGCTTCAGGTTTTAAAAAAGACTCATTACCAAATGCCACAGAAGGTGAAGCCAGTGAGAGCTTGTTTAATTAGATATTACAGGTATAAAGGCAGTGCATCAACTACCCTTTGGAGTATATTAGGCTAATATTATTGTGCTTAAACTGAACCGATTATCACTGTCCTGTTAGACCAGAGTTGGAACATTTTGAAAGCCAACCGAGTAGAACGATTAACTTCTTAACATTCAATCTTCATTTAGAAATTAATTTGATTTGCAGTTTTAAATCACAAATTGAAAATGGCTTCAATTTGGGTTAGAGGTTTCGAAGAAAACATAGGCCAAGGAGGGAAGAGAAAGAGAAACAAGGGAGGTAACTGAATGCTGAGAATCAGAAGAATGGAAGCTGGAGGCATGAAGAGGAATTAAATGGGGAAAGGTACAAAAGGAATGAGAAGTCACACTGACCTAGGTCAAAAGGTCTAAATGTGGGAAATCCGATAAAAATTGGATTTGAATGGTTCTCAAAAGTCATGTGGAGAATCCAGGAAACAACACTTTTGCTGGCAGTGAGACCAGACCCGGCGTCATGGGCGGGCCCCATGGGGCCGGGCCCGCCCATCCAGGATTTGGGCCCGCTGTTTTAATCAGAGCTGAATACAACATTTTAATTGTTTTATTATTATGTTTATTGTTGTTATTTGTAGGGCTTTGTCCTAATATTTATTTTTGTTTTAAATTATGTTGAAAGATTAGTTTAATATCATTTTTATTTTGCTATGAAATTCTGAATGAAAGGCTGCGCGCGAGACTGGGTTGAGTCGAGGGGTTTTTGACAGCAGCCTGTCAATTTACTCTTGCTAGGTTAGTTTGGCTATTATCATTTATATTGATCTGAAACAATGGATATCAGGAAGTGGTTCATGAAAGGAATATGGCAACTCAGCGCCAGATGCAGGCACATTAGAAGACATCAGTTACGTTACCAACGAGCTAGCAAGCCAGCCAGGGACAAGGGAGGCTGGCAATCAATTATATTTTGAAGAGAAATTGACTCAAGCCGGCTCTCTCACAAACTGCTGCTCTGTGCGCAAGCAGACCGCTGTACACGCTCAATCTCTCTCTCTCTCCCTTTCTCTCCATCGCTCAACCTCACCCCACCTCTCCACCCTGTGTGCGCTCCTCAAGTTTGCCTGCGTGCTTGCCCAAGTTGGCACAGCATTACAAATGTGCCACTAAACCAACCAATGGATGTAGCCTATATCTATCTACCCTGTCCTGCTGTCTGAGAAATCCGCGGAGCTGCAGCTGAGAAAAATAAGGCTCTGTGTGTGTGTTGGTGTGAGTGTGAGTGTGAGTGTGAGTGTGTGTGTGTGTGTGTGTGTGTGTGTGTGTGTGTGTGTGTGTGTGTGTGTGTGTAAGGCATGTGTTGGTTATGGTTAGGATAAGTCTCCAGGAAATGCATGTAAGTCAATGTAATGTCCCTGAAGTGATGTATACATGGTGTGTGTGTGTATGTGTATGTGTATGTGTATGTGTGTGTGTGTGTGTGTGTGTGTGTGTGTGTGTGTGTGTGTGTGTGTGTGTGTGTTGTGTGTGTGTGTGTGTGTGTGTGTGTGTGTGTGTGTGTGTGTTGTGTGTTGTGTGTGTGTGTGTGTGTGTGTGTGTGTGTGTGTGTGTGTGTGTGTGTGTGTGTGTGTGTGTGTGGTTGTGTGTGTAAGACCCCCCGTTGACAATTCAGATTTCCCGGGAAATGTAAGTTTCCGGATGGGCCCGCCCTGGTAAATCAAATGCCCGCCCAGAGCCGTATGTCTGCCGCCGGGTCTGAGTGAGACTAAGGGCGCATTCACACCAGCCCTAGTCCGGTTGAATCGAACCCTGGTGCGTTTAGCCGCTTGGTGCGGTTCGTTTGGGTCGGTGTGAACGCAGTCCAAGACCTCTGAAGTGAACTAAACAACCGGACTCTGGTCCGCTAAAATAGGTGGTCTCGGAACGCTTGCTAGTGAACTCTGGAGCGGTTAATCGCTGGTGTGAACGCAGTCCGCACCAAAACATAGGAAGCGTAGTATTTACGAGTCACAAGAACGCGGGTGTCTTCATTTCTTTAGCGAAAGAGTGAAGCAGAATGAAGTGTTGAACAGTGTCGTGTAAAGTAAAAACAACTATCTAAATAAAAACTATACATAAAAGTCAGAGCCACCTGCCGTCGGTGAAACGCCCCTCCTTACTGCAGAACGTCTCTCATTAATATATGTGTTATAATGTTTTTTATCGCACGTTATCTGATTATAATCATACACCGTCCACTAGAGTCCATTGATATGCTCTCCAGATTAACAGCAGCATGAAAATAACCTGCCGATGCTCCATGGCGGAGGCTCCGGTAGAAATTGCCGGGATTTGCGTTTTTACCCCCTTAATGTCTGACCAATGGTTGACCAGCATTTCCGAGCACATGACTTGTGTTTAAAGTTTATAGTCCGTTTTGCCCGTGTGATCGCAAACCGAACCTTCTGAAAAATGAAACAATGTAACAAACTGTGGTCTGGTGCTCACCAGATAAGTGGACTAGTAGGTGTGAATGCACCCTAAAGTACAACTGGATTATGTTGTGCAACCCTGTTTTGCATAATGATAACAAATGATAATTGAATACTTAAATGAATTGACTTATGGAGGTTGTCCCAATATTAGAAAAGTACATTGAAAACATTTGAAAAGTAAGTAACAACTTCTACTACCAAGAGACATTGGAAGTGGAAGTAATTAAAACTCAGATATTATTTAATTTAAACAAAAGAGAACCAAATGGGGAGTCAACAACTTTTTTACAGCACACTTTCCCAGAATGCCCTTATGCATCTCGTTAAATAGACCTTGAGAATTAAATTAGAACATCTTATTTAAAGGGATAGTGGAAATCCGCGAATTTTGGGTTTAACTTATGTATTTTTATTAAAAAGAAGCATAATAAACAATTTTTTTTAATTTCATGCGCCTAGTTTCATTTTATTTTCAATTTTACTGCGCCCTCTCAATGAAACGAAATACTTCGGGAATCGTCGGGAATCTTCGGGTGATGACGAGAGCTCAGGAAGACGGGCACAAACAATGGCGGACATTCAATAGCACTTGCATGTGAATAGCCGACCTTTATTATGGTGAATAGATGTGTTTTGTATGGCTGTAGTGCGACAGAAAAATTCTACGTGACACAACGACATTGGATTAACCTTGAGATGCGTTTTTATTCCGTTGAACACAACTTTTGATCACAAATCAAAAAAGGTAAGACGTAATTATTGTAATATTTTTGGAACCGGATGTTGTTTACTTTCTCTTTTCTGGCTGATACCTCCAGGAATTCGAGGTCTTACAGTGATGACATTACATCTGTGGAGTCTCAGCTTTAAATCGTATATCTTGTTTGTGCAGTTAAGATAGTAATAAGGGCATTTCTACCGTGTGTTGTGTGTAAAAAAGCGTTAGCATTAGTTAGCATTGTTTCGCTCAATGCTAATTCAAAGGCTTGGTATTACTCTTGTGTTTTTTCTAGCTAACAATTGTTCTTATTGTCAGTTAGCGGAGTTTCTTACCTTTAAAAGGGTATGAAACATTAATAGTTTCATAAATGTTAAGAAGCCCTGAGACATGTGAGAGAAAAAAAACTGTGGGAGGGGTCCACTGGGGGGACCTTCGGGCTTAACTGGTTAACAATGATTAATATTTGTAAAGGCTACAGGTGATCTTAAGATGCGTGAGCTATGCTTAGGGACCTACCAGTCAAGATTATTTGTGCGTAGGGGTGCATCATCTGGCGCCTGGTCCTGGTCATCCTCGCCATTGCCCATGCCGTGAACCATCACCTCGGGCTCGGGCTCGAACAAATAAGGACGTAATGGTCCATCGTCTGGCTCAATATTGTCACCATCGTCGCTTACTGAACCGGATTCAAATTCAGTTCCTAAAACGACATTTTCGTAGGAAAGCCGAGAGGATGTTTCTGACTCGCTATCATCACTGGATACCTCGTACAATCCTTCTTCTTTGTCTGGTATATTTGCCCTTCCACGTTCATTCTGCATAGACGCCATGGTTTGTTATCGTATCGTCTTCCTAAGTTTTCGTCACTTCCGGTTTGGCTGAGTCGAACATTTCGTTTCTAAAAAACTTCGGGGAAGCTGCAATAAAGTGCTTCTAACATGCGTAAGGCAATTATTATATTTTTTTAATCAGGTGTGATTGTTTTGGTACGTAATTATGCTTGTATATAAGTTAAAACGAAACTATTTGAGGTTCCATTTCCACTATCCCTTTAAGTATACTTAATCTAAAAAGTTCCCATCCAACACACTGACTGTAAACTGACCTTGCTGGTTGAGCTGCAGTGTGCTCTTGCTCCACTGCGACAACCCCACAATGGCCACCATCTTGGCGCCGAGGCTGGAGCGCCGCTTCTTGTTTCCAGCAATTGAAGTGGAGTCCGCCCCCCCGCCGCCGGGACTCTTCTCCACGTTGTATATCGTCCCCGAGATGCTGGAGGAGCGCACCACGTTACGAGCCGCCGCGCTCAGACCGCTGAGGCCGCTGAGACCGTTCATCCCACCCGGGCTGGGCACCTCCACAGAGCTGCTGAGCATCATGGTCCTGCTGGAGGGCCGAGAGGCTGGGGGGGAAGGATGTAGAGTTGGAGCGGGGCTGAAGAAGGAGAGAGGATGAAAAAATACGTTTAAGGTGAGGGTTGAAGGAGAGAAGAGAGCAGCTCAACTCAAAGGACATCTTGATAAACATGCTAAGAAATAACAATGGGAATCCATGAGAGCGATCTGGTTGAAAAGAAACGTGAAGTACTTCTTAAACTGCTGTGGCTATGTACACTTTTTAGGATAATGTTGCTACTCTCCAATTGTTTTTATTTCATTTCATTTCATGTATCATGACATGTTGATGTGATGAAATACAGGATAATCACTCGTCTTACAGCTGCAGTGACTCCCCGAGGCTGGGGAAGGACACATAGTTTACATTTCAACCACAGTTCGGTATCCACTTATTGCACAGACAGCATAAATGACATCCTATACCATAACATCAGAAGTGAAAACTCTAAACAGTCTTAGTTTGTAAACATAGAAAACAAAGAACCCAAAAGCTCAGCCAGTGAGGACAGTGCAGATGGCAGCGGACTGTTCCAGTGAGTTAAGAAACACACACTAACACAAATGTCAGGGCTGACCTGCTGTTGAGAGGTGACCTTGTCAGCTGGTATTTTTCTTGTGTGGGTTTTTTATATCTTGTTCTGTGTCTGACCTTATAAAGTGACGCACGATAAACTTTACAGCTATGACAACAGAGTCATCACTGGTTGGCTGAATCCATGGAGAATATCAATGTGTGTGTGTGTCATCTTCCTTATTCTAACTGACGCACACAGAGTCTCACAACAGGCGTTATTCTCACAGCAGGTATTTTTACATGTCACAGGTTACGTATAACTCGGTGATGGCTTCATTGAACTCAGTAGTAATGGACTGACAGTGCGATAGTTTGAACAAAACCAGGACCCTGAAACTCAAGAACCAAAAATAATTGTATTATTTGCACCGGTGCTTCTCCTAATGTGACATGTCAAGATGTCTTTTGTGAAAAGAAGGACTTTCGACACCTCTATCACGCGATATCTCTCTCCTTCACCCTTTTCCTTCTCTCCCCTTTACAAAGTGATTATACTGAGGCAGTTAAATATGTAGATTATGCTGGCTCTTTTAACATTTCTCCATTTTTTTCTTTGTGTAAAGAGAAATTACAGCAATGCAGTATTTTGTGCGTTGAGTGTCTCGCACAGTTCAGCTGATTCTAAGATTCACCTCACGTTATATGCATGATCATTTAACAACAATAGGAACCTAAAGACACGCTATCAGCTCTGTGAGGCCACAGCAGTGCCTAGAGCTGCTAAATGCTAATATCAGCATGCTAACGACAATGCTTACGTTTAGCAGGTATATTGTTGAACAAGTTGTGCTTTCTATTAAAGTGTGCAAGCATGCTAACATTTGCTAATCAACATTAGATGATACCGCTGAGGCCGATGGGATGTATTCAGTTTTGCATGAGATAGTTGGTCATAAACTGAAGTATTGAAAAAACTAAAATGTGGACTTGATGATGGTTCCACAAGAAAGAGATGCGATCAACAAAGTCATCACAATTCATCCCTACTTTAAAATGATTAAACTTCATGGCAATCTATCTGGTAGTTGCTAAGAATTTTTAAACTGTATATGTTAACCTTATGTTGGTAGAATAGGAATTAAGATTACTAACATATGTAGCATTCATCATGTGGGTACTATGAATGTCTGTAAATGTCATAGCAGTCCAACAATGCCATCTTCCGAGACTGCTTCTAGATATGTAGCTCAGCGTAAGTTCAATCAGGAAGACAATATCATCGGGTGTCACACGTTATCTCAATAAGTGATCAGGGGCGTCACGCCCCGGCTAGCCAATCATCGCACCTGCTAACCCCTTTAAATCTGCTCTCCCCTCCCTGTCAGTTGTCATTTCAGGTGTCAACGCACAACCCTCCTCCTCCCCTTCGCCTCCTGTCTCCTAATACAGGGCCAAGCTGAAACCTTCTCCCTTCAGATCGGACCGAACTACTATCACCACTACCAGTGTCTAGACCCCGGGGGGGGTTCATCAGAGCGGTTCTTTCCCTCCTGAATGATCATCCTGCAAACCCGGGGCCTAATCGCCAAAACATCATTACAGTTACTTGTTGTAATACGTCAATCACTATTCCCGCATATCATGTGTCCCGATAATAAACATGTACTCATACATCACGTCTCTCCTGATTGAACTAACGTGACTTCAAAACATAATCTTTACATAATCCGCAACGAATCGCAGGAAATGGAGCACACATTCTTTATGCTACTGAAACACTCACTCCCATGACTGGAAGTCATTAATAATACAAATACAGTACAGGGAAGTTGCACTTAATGCGTCGTTCCAAATGAGGCTGTAAGTGCCCTGTGCTTCAGATGTCTCTTTAAATCACCATCGGTCCCTGCTTGTCACACCAATACAGACATAATGCTTACAGCCCAAAACATGTTGCTGACTGGCACCTTTCGTCAGGATTCATTTAGCAAAACCACAATAACAGCAGTGGCTGCTCTTGAGGAACGGTTGACTTATGAAGCAAAGGGCAGATTTTGGCATTTTGGAAAGAAACGTATACTAAAAGCCAAGTGGAAGAATGCATGCTTAGTACAAAGCTACTGCAGTGGCATTTGCTTGGTGTGCAAAAGGGTACTGAGGGGAGAGAGAGAGGGAGAGAGAGGAGGCAGGGGTTTAAAATCGGAAATTCAGATGAGCCCGTATGCCCGTTTTTTATTCTCCTCTCTTTCCTGCACACCCAATCTTTCCTATTGCGGCCCATGCGCACTTCTGTCCCGCTCTCTGGGGGGCGTCTGTACTTTGAACACACATCGTGCAAAGCAGGATAAAATGAGGGTAGGGGAGGGAACGAGAAGGCTGCAAGAGAAAGGAAGACAAACAGAATAATTCTGCTTTTAGAGAGCCATGAGGACAGGGTTGAACAAGAGAGGGAGGCGAAGGACAGGGAGAGAGAGGGGAGGATGCTTCATAATGAATGGACACACAGAAAAATCCTGCAGGAAGCCGGGGCCAGATCTGTGAGGAAGGATGGAGTGAAAATGAGAGAAGAAGAAGAGTATGACATTGATTGTGACAATAATGGAGACATGCATTCACCCTCCTCCCCTCTGAATGATGAGATCCTCAGAGTGTGTGTGTGTGTGTGTGTCTGTGTCTGTGTCTGTGTCTGTGTGTGTGTGTGTGTGTGTGTGTGTGTGTGTGTGTGTGTGTCTTTGGCTGAAGACGTGTAAAAGTGAAACCGGGTGAACTCAAGTGTACAGCGTATACGCTTTGCCCACAGGACAACAACACGCTTATTAGCCTACGCACGCTATACCATGAAGCTAGAGACTGTGGACACACACAAAATGCCACAGAAGAAAATGAAATATTTTATTAAAGTAGAGAATGGAGTACCCATGAACATAATAACTTAAATTAGAGGAAAATTAGTATTACATTTGTGGTAATGATGGATATGAATAATCTTGGAATTCAAACTAAATTCCCAAACTAACAACTGCACTGCGATTCTCAATCTTTGGAGATGCCACCATGTACCTGTCCCCACATTGTGTTCTGTTGGACCTAAAGGAACATCCCGCAGCCAATCAATCTTCATCTCTGTGCACGACAGCTCCCCTGCCGTGTGTCTCTGCTCCCTAACTCCTCATCTCAGAGCTCATTTATTTCTCCTCCCGTCAGCAGTCGGCCCCCCCGACACACCCAGCACCGCTCAACATCACTGGTGTCCACCCAACTCTGACCCATGCTGAGTAAGATCTGGCCTCTTAAAGCTCTCCTATTATTAGGCATATATTATGGGTCTCAGATATATCAAAAGATAGAGATAAATGCTGCCGTGATTAAACGCCATATCATGTTCCAAACCACATCAAGGATTATCTCTGAAACAGTATGGAGCTCAAAGGCTTTTTCTCTTGCGGGTTATACCACAAGGTGAGTTCCTTTTTATATTTCCTGCTTTTTTACACATACTCTCTCCAGTACAGGTTAGCTCTGAGTGTTAGCGATGCTAATGTAAACACCGACCATATTACGTCCAAAACAGTCGGGCATTGTTTCTGATAGCAACTTTCTGATTGGGCCGTGGGTCCACATTTCTGATATGACATCATATCGGATGTAAATCTGGATCAGCTCCGTTGTTCCCCCGTTTTTAGAGATTTGGGTACGGAGGAAAAGAGAGAGGGTTTTATTTTCTGACGCTGCGTGAGTTCCCCCACACACCGGGGACACATGCTTATGTATAAAAGACATCAAAAAGTGCATTTTGCATGATATGAGACCTTTAATATGAATGAATGTTTACATAGGAGCCTTGCATTAGCTGCAACCAAGTCTTTAAAGACGGACATGCCATACTTTCAAGTAACTTTTGATAAGAAATGTACGCAACAGATAACTGCTGGTAGATCGATATTTCACAGATTAAATTGGGAAGGGAAAGCCCCAGTGCATTTCATATAAATGAAAAAATGCCCTCAATGGTTGGATCCTTTCCAAAGTTTAATGTAACACCAACTCTAGCAGAACACTCTGCTGGCAAGCTACAGCGTAGAAGATCACACATCTTGGACTTCAGCCAATAATTACCGCCCGCAGAGAATCAAACAGTAAAAATGTGACCTATCCTTTCAGTTTCTCCATAAACACAAAGGCCGCAACCCTGTAATTAGATATGGCGGCGCGATCCATTAATGGTCTCTTTAGAGTTGCCCTGTATGCAGCCACACTGTTACTGCTGCTTAGTTAATTAACCTACAATTTAGCTGCAAAGTAGATGGTAACGATATACTGTAAGAGTGGGCCAAGGCGAGTAAATCTTATATATCAACATCAATTTGAAACACTCAACAGATACATCTCCTTTGGTGTTATTAGTTTTACTTTGTGTGTTTGCTGTGGGATGATTGTGTTTTGCTGCCAAGACGGTAAAGAGTGAACTGGGCAATTAATCTGGGTAATTAAAGCTAAATCAACATAAGAAAATCAAAGTATCC